CGTGGCTCAGGGCTCTGACACTCCTTCCCTGCCACCAGCCTCGGCCCCTGGTGTCCCAAGGGCCCAGTCACCACCTCTGCTCAGCAGTGAGGAATATGACGTGGTGCTGCAGGGGTTGATCTCCACAGCCAGTACCAGGCAGGGCCCTCTTATCTCACTATCTCCAGAGCAAATGGCCACAACGCCTGCCTGGGCTCCAGATAAGGGTGTGATTGCTGCTGGGCTGTAAATCATTCTGCTGCCCTGGACTGCTTGGCTGTCCCAGCCTCAGCTGGGTGGTGGGGGTGGGAGCAGGAAGAGCAGCAGCTCCAGAGCTGCTGCTTTGCTTTCCTTGTTTTCCCCTCACAGACCTTCCTGCATCTCCCAGCTCCCCCCTTGTAGCCTCTTTCCAGGAGTCCCTTTTTTGCTGCTCTGCTGGGAGGAAGGGGCACAGCCCTCTGTGTGTCATTCTGCATCAGGGATGGAGGGAGGGGCAGCTCTGCCCCCCCTGGGCTGCCTCTGCTCTCCCTCCTTGCGTGTGGCTTTCTGGCGCTGGTTTTTGAGCTGGGCAGGGATCGGCTCCAACACTTGTCTCAGGTCATGGAGTGACTCTTGGCCCCTGACACTGTTTGCCAGTGTGGGTAAGGCCTCAGCAGAGCCAGGCTTAGCCTTGTGCTCCTGCCCTGCTGCATCCCAGCTCTGTCTTCCCTCTGATGGGAAGCAGGTAGGTTCCCTGGCTCTCTCGTCCTGTGTACCAGCAGCATGTTTTCACAGCTGCCACGGCCCCATCCGACTGCGGTCAGCATGGAGGAGCAGGGTCTGCCTCCTGGTGCCAAGGCCCCTGCATTGGCAGGCTGGGGCAGGGCTGGCTAACTCCCTGTTTGTCCCTGAACCGCAGGTCGGAGTGCCAGACGAGAGGGGCTGTGCGTCTCTGCTCCCTGCCTGGGGCCTGCCCTGCTCTCAGCCAGCGATGGAGTACGTGGTAAGGACTTTGGTGGAGGACTAGGTGGCTTTGGTGGTGGATCCTGCCTGCCCTCTCTCCCTGCTGGGAGGGCCCCAGCCTCCTCCCCGGGTCTCCACTGGCCGTCTCCCAACCCCTCCTCAGAGCGAAGGAGAGGTTAGATGTAGTGTGCTGCAGCTGTGATGTTTGGGGGGAAAAAAATTAGCTGTTGGCTTGATTTGAGAGTTTTCCTTTGCTTCCTCCCTGCCTTGGAGGCTTGAGTTTGGCTGTGGTTGGACAGAGGGGGGTCTCCTGCCCAGGGGTGAGGTTTGTACGTGCGGCCGCCTGCTCCTTGCTGCGATTTCTTGCCAAACCATTGTCATGTTCCAGGTCTCTGACTCAGCTCCCAGTTGGTGTTTCCTGGGAGGATGTTGGTAGTGGGGCCCTGAGCGTGCCCTCTCTGCTTCTTTTCCTTGCCCTTGGCTGGAAGTCCCAGTCCCAAGTGCCTGAAAGTAGCCCATGTCCCTCTGTTTCTCACAGTCTTTTTGTGGTGGCAGGGCACACGGAGCAGCTTCCTTGGGGACAGCTGTTCCAGCTGCTCTGCTGGAGGGGCAGGAACTCCTGCTGCCTACCTGGCAAGGGATGGGGCTTGGGGCTGCCTGCTCAGGCAGGGGTAGGTTTTCTGTATCTCCACGTGCCTCCAGGTTTGCCTTCTGCACTGGGAGCCCCCTGGGAGGGAGGGCTCTGGTGCCCTGGGGTGGGCTCTGGGGCTGAGGGACTGTGGTGGCAGCACTTCTGGTCTCCAAGGGCTGGGAGCAGCAATGCACCTTGTCACATCACCACAGGTGATGTGGGCAGGCTGGCCTCAAAGGTCCTGAGAAAATCAGGAATTACTCCAGCTTATAAAAGCAGAGGTGTGTCTGAGCAGGGGCTGTGGCTGTAGGGCTCATCAACCCTTTGCTGCCTGGCAGGGATGGTGGCTCCAGGCCCTGAGGTGGTGGGAAGGGGGCAAGGAGACACTCCTGCCCCCAGGCAGTTCCCTTCTGCTCTTAATCCTGGTAGGCCCTGGAGTAGTGTCAGGGCCTGTGGAGCTGCTGTGCTGGGTGACCCCAGCCCCATATCCACTAGTGGCCAGCCCCTTGTGGGCAAACCCTGCTGCCCCCGCAGCCATTTGACACCACCCAGCTGGGCTCCCCTGGCACCGGGGCTGTGCTGGCCCCTCACTGGGCGGGTGGCTTCCTGGCTCCCTGGCCCCAGACTTCCTGCTTTTCTTTA